ACATGGATGGTACTATGAATTGCTATACAACACATAAAAGGGATCAGCAACTATGCTGACAGCTGGTCATGTTACTAGCCGTCTCGACATACACTACTATGCTATAGGCTGAACAGGCAGGTGGTTCTGGGCTGATTCTATACAATAACAAATTCATAATAACTTAGAACTAATGGATGGTATCATAATGGATGTTAACAAAAAGAGTTTTACGTAATGGGTGTTAACGTAATCACTTTTAATGTAATAGCTCAATGTAATGAGTTTTAAAAAAGTAATGCATTACAAAAATATAAGAACAAATCATTGTAAAATATGGATGGAATTGATCGATCGATCTGTATTCATGCACTCTACGGATTCTGAGGGAAAAATAAATATATATACAAGGTGAAAAATTTAAAAGCAAAGGCAAACTGGGGCACTCAGATCATTACTGTCAAATTTTCAAAATACGGAGGAACGTGAATATGAAAAAAAAAAAAACGAAAAACTAATCAGTTTAATAACAAACAGTTGACAATTTACTTCATCTCGGACATCTAGTTATACAGACTATGTACATTTAAACCCAATTCTGCGAGGGTGAGGGTTTTCATATGCAGAATGGGTTTTCATCTCTGGAGGGGTCGAATTCCTCTGGGAATGGCTAACACATGCCTTGACTGAGGGAGATCTGAACGAGCATCTACAAAAGATACTTGTGGGTTTCTCATTACTTGTCGAGTATGCAAGGAGTAACGACATTTAGGGTTTATTATCTGGCTGAGTATTTGAGGTAGAGGTACAGAGTCAAGAGGATTTTCAGCATCTGTCACATTTGTCTGGTAGCAATATCATCAAAATCGCATACTAATTTCATATGATCTAAATACGATTCTTTGTACTTACCAGTACTAATTTCTCTAACCTTTTACTTATTACCAGAGATATGTTCTACAACTCGATAAGGCCAACAAACTTTTGATCGAGCTTAGGCATTGCGGATGTTTTTTGAAATTTGTCAGCATTACTCTCGAACCTACTTTGACTTTTGATGGCTTTGCACGGCTATTAGTTACTTAGTAAATTCTGCTTTTTGATTTATGAAGTGTTTCACGGATTCTTCTAAAAACACTTTGAGCCATGCTGGTACGAGTTGCTACGAAATCACAGGGTTTGTAATTAGGTTTCGGAGTGGAATATAACAACTCATAGGGTAAACGCTTGTCTACACCATACAATGCATAATGTGGAGTATCCCCTATGGAAGCATTGTAAGCAGAATTTAGGCACATTGAACTCTGGTATACTTCATCCCAAGTTTCACTATTGGGGTTGATAGTGGCTCTCAAAACATCAAGTACTTTCTTATTGTTCGTCAGCTAACCCATTGCTGGCAGGATGATGGGGAACAATGGTGGATTTAGAGATCTTGTATAAAGTACACAAATTTTCAAGAATCTCATTACAGAATTCACCCCATTATCTGTTTACTAAGGACTTTGGGTGGTATGCCTGCAGATAATGCGTTCTTTAAACGCTTTAGCTACTGTCTCAGCAGTCTTATCTGCAATAGAACTAACTCCCATATCTGGTGAAATGGTCTACCGTAACACACAGATGCTTGTTGCCTTGGAGGGGAAAAGTTAAAATTGGTTAATAAATCAAGGGCAACTCTTTCCCACGGGTTCGCTAGTGGTTGGGTACACATGGATTGGAATAGGACCATTGACATTTCCTTTATGTCGCATACAAACACTACATTTCTTAACATACTCTGAAATGTCAGTTGCCATATTTTGGCCAAAGTATTCATTCTGGCTTGTTTCACAGAACGATCCATACCAGGGTGTGCACACCTGGGGCATCATGAACAGCGTAGAGCTACGTTCACTAGTGACTGTGGAAAATTTCTAACTGGTAAACACATCTACTTGGAGTACCCAACTCGGCTGTTCGATACAGTAATTCCTGGCTCATTAAAAAAGTCACTAATGGTGCTGGTGGTTCACAGTCAGGGAAAAAATCTTCCTGGAGCAGGAATCGAATCACACCAGACCACAAGGGATCTGTTCTTTGGGCATTTTTGACATCCTCGACAGTAAATGGAGGATCTGCAGTAACTACACTAACGTGTCGCGATAAAGCATCTGCGACTACATTTGACTTGCCAGGTAAATGTTCAAAAGTGGGATTGAACTCTTGGTTAGTCAAGGTCCATCTGGCTAACCTTCCAGTAGGTTGTTTGTTCTGGAATAAAGGTATCAGTGGTGCATGGTCTGTCAAGACATGAACAGGGTACTGGTAAATAATGTCTCGGAAGTGCTTCAAAGTTGGTGATAATGTTGGAGGTGTAGTGTGGTGTTGGTGATAATGTTGGAGGTGTAGTGTGGTGTTGGTGATAATGTTGGAGGTGTAGTGTGGTGTTGGTGATAATGTTGGAGGTGTAGTGTGGTGGTGTTGCTAAGACTTGCTGGAAAAGAGTTGAAAGTCTTAAGTAACAAAATAAGACTACAACTACAACCAGCTGACCAGCTGACAGACAAGCACAACCATCTGTCACCAGCTGACAGACAACCACAACCATCTGTCACCAGCTGAAAGACAACCACAACCATCTGTCACCAGCTGACAACCACAACCAGCTGTCACCAGCTGTCAGACAACCACAACCAGCTGTCACCAGCTGACAGACAACTACAGTACAGCCAGCTGTCACCAGCTGACAGACAACACTGTATCGAATGAATGCCTAAAAGAAAATCATATACTAAAAGATAGGAAAAATGACGAAGAAGAGAGAAAAAATAGAACAATATGCTAATAATGTTGGAAACAACAGCACAATGCGGATGTACCTATTTTTTTATTAAAAGAAAAAGGTACAAGGAGTAAAATTAATAAATAATGAAATCCTCCAATAAAAAATAAACCGGAAAAAATATTTTACAGAGATTAAGCTGAAAATAAATTGGAGGGCAGTGAAGAGCTTTTGATCCGAGGAATTAGCGTTAACTGCCCCTTCGTCTGATCAGACCTGCTTAGTGTCCCTCCGTAGGTACGAGGGGGGGGAAGGTGTGTGTACTTACCTACATGTGGTTGCAGGGGTCGAGTCTCCTGGGTCCTCTGTGTGTGTGAGTGTGTGTGTGTGTGTGTGTGTGTGTGTGTGTGTGTGTGTGTGTGTGTGTGTGTGTGTGTGTGTGTGTGTGTACGCAGGCATAGTCACGTACACAGGTTGAAGACACACACGACACAAATCAGGTTTTCGTGAGAGCGATACAAGTTAACCCCCAGACGTATACATGCAGTCAGATGTGTAAATATACATGTATATATCCAGATGTATAAGTACGAAGTTAGCAGTATAACCACCAATCAGATGTATAACTACACAGTCAGATGTATAACTACACAGTCAGATGTATAACTACACAGTCAGATGTATAACTACACAGTCAGATGTATAACTACACAGTCAGATGTATAACTACACAATCAGATGTATAACTACACACTCAGATGTATAACTACACAGTCAGATGTATAACTACACAATCAGATGTATAACTACACAATCAGATGTATAACTACTCAGTCAGATGTATAACTACACAATCAGACGTATAACTACAAAATCAGATATATAACTACACAATCAGATATATAACTACACAATCAGATATATAACTACACAATCAGATATATAACTACACAATCAGATATATAACTACACAATCAGATATATAACTACACAATCAGATATATAACTACACAATCAGCGGTGGAAATTCACTATTTTTTTTCACAGTGGTTATTTTGCTGAGATCTCTTTCTCATTTCTGCAACTTTGCAAGCTCCTGATGATGTGTTGATTGCAGCACGAAAGGCCTGTGGTTGTTTATGTATAATAAATTTATATCTATAATAAAATTAATAATTTATTATTTAAAGGACAACGTAAAACAAGAGACCCGAAACTCAGTTTTGGAGAAGAATGTCAATAATCTTAAGACACTGAGTGCTAAAAAGTATAATAAAATAATTCATGTTAAGCTCTAAACCCATGTGGGTCATTCAGCCCAAGACGTAGTGGAGGCTTGATCCTTCGTCTGATGAGCGTCAGATAGACTCCCTTCAAACCACACCAGGGGCGGGGATAGAACCCGCGACCAGAGAGTCACGCTTCCTATTGATAACCAGAAATTTGGACAAGCAAGGTGATCTTTCAGTCGTATATATGATGCAATTTCCCCTCCCCCCCCCCAAAAAAAAAAAAGCTATGATCCGGTTATTTGAGATGTGCGTGACTTTAATTAGTAGTGTCAGGTAAACGTCTTACCACTGGTAAGATGCATGTCTTTTGGACAGTTCTATATAGTCGGTATTATGGTCCTGGGTATCCCTTATCCCCAAGTGGGGTTAAGGGATACCCCGGACCATAATACCGACTATATTGAAGACAACACACACGTTCAGATTAACGTTGAATCGGGACAACGTTTGATTCTATTAGAGATATGTCAGTTTATGTGGTCATGGTATGACTTGATGAAACTCTAACAGAACGAAACGCTTTCCCAATGCAAGCTTATCTTGCAAGCTGTGTCGTTCAGCTTACATAGAGGATTATACAGCGCCTGGGGAGGGGATGTGGAAGGCATTCAGGCTTAATTCGGGGAACTGGAGCACAGATCCAATTCCCTAAATCAAGAGCCCCTCACCAACATCAAGGAACCTTCCTTGAGGGGTGTTACAGAAGCCACACGTAGCTGAATGTGACGGAGATTGTTTATCGTCCTGAGTTACATCCGCTGAAGAAGCAGTGATTAGGTGAGTACATTACTTTTTCAAACAATCTATGTTTTTTAGTTATTAATACGGACTCATTATTAGAAAGTTTGTTGCTCATCTCACATAAGTATAAGTCAGAGTACAAATTTTATGTTGATTTTGAACATTAATCTTTATGAAGTTGTAAACAGCAGTAAAATATAATGGTGAACACTGGGAGTACTCACCTTGTTACGCATTGCAGTAACGAAGGAGGACAGAGAGAACATGCCTCCGTCCGCCTCAGACACATCCCACAGGTAATTCCGCATCCAAACGATGTTCTCCCGGAGCTTCGCCTCTCTCTGAACCTCCAGCATCATTTCTGAAGCGATGGTTGCTTCCTCGTCCTCCTCGTCTTGGCTTTCCTCCAGGGCTTCTGGTGGCACTGCGACCAGGGAGAGAGGCCGCTCCTCATCTTCGCCCTCAGGAGTGCCCCTGTGGGGCACTTGAAGATGGGAGGCTGTCGAAGTACGCTTCGAGACTCGAGAAGAAGCTCGTGCCCGCACAAAGGGGTTACTTCGCGATCTTCTGGACCAGAAGTCACGATTTCTGATGTTCTCAATGATGTGTTCCTCGATGTCGCAGTCCGGAGAGAGTGAGGCGGCAGGCATGAGGCTCGACGAAGGCCGCTTGGCGCCTGAAGACTGCCCCTCCGAGAAGAACGACTGAAACCCTGCATAGCTGATATTCGAGGCTCTCTTGTCTACCTCCAACTTGGAAGATTTGCTGTCAAGGAAGTTGACGCTCTTGGACACCTGCAGCTCCTTCTTGGACGAAGGTGCTTGTTTCGCTGCTTCTCCCTCCCCGTATAGAGGGTTGTCGAAGCAAAGTTTTGATTGGTTCTCATCGCGCAGCACCATTTTAAGGAGTCAGATTCGTCCACACTGCTTCATAAATATATAATTCCCGTATCACTTATTTTTTTTAACCTGTCAAAAATTATGTTTAGAAGACGCAATTTGGGATTACATACTCTTGCATGGGCAAAGTTGAATACCCGACGTGGGTCTTAGCTAATGAACGGACGAAGAAGCACGAGGACTAATGGAAGAAACAGCGGAAACAAGAGAGCGGCAGGCACACGCTTAGTGTGATTACCGTCTTGGCCCTCTGTCACCGCTCACTGACACTCCCTGGCCAGAGGAAGCCACTTTTGTCTGGACCCAAGATACCTGAAGCTATCATGGACACTCATACACAACAGGAAATGTGACCAGAATATAGTTTCAACGCAGTACCTGGGCCCAAGTCATTCTTCAGAAGACTAGTATTTGCATTTTGTGTGTTTTTTTTTAGCCACAGGGTTGGCAAGAATGAGGAAGGGGAAGGATTGAGGTAGAAATAGAGCAGTAAAAGAATTGTGTGTATCCAGGAAGACAGGAAAGAAAGAATAAATGACCACACCATCTGGAAAAGCACTCAGCTCACATACTGAGTGTCAGTGGTTCGATCCCCGGTAAGGGTTGAAACGCTGGTCATGTTTCCTTACACCTGCTGCCCCTGTTCACCAAGCAATAAGTAGGTGCCTGGGTGTTAGCCGACTGGTGTGGGGTCGCATTCTGGGGGTGGTAGTATACCGTAGACAGGACTGGGGCTTTAAAAATGAACAGAGGTAGAATAACAACTCTTAGCCTGTAAAACTTATTTGGGTAAAGAGGAAAAATAGTTCCGTCACGGCTATTGGAATGTTCACTTTATATGAACCTTCCAGTATCTCTTATATGCGTTACATTTCCCGGAATTAAGGAAACAGAAAACAGGTGTTTGGATGTACGTGCTTCGCGTCTCCTTCCGTTTACCAGATCCTGGAGTTCCATCCGGTCAGGAAAGGCATCGCTAAGGAAACGTTTGGACCGGAAATAATAAAAGCTTTTTTGAAGTTGTAATATAAATATGTAATTCTTGTGAAGCGCTAAACCCATGTGGGTCATTCAGCGCAAGACGTGGTGGTGGAGGCTCGACCCTCCGTCTGCTGAGCGCGAGGTAGACGCGCTTCCTATTTGTACTCATCTAGACGGCCTTTGAAGTTGTAGAAGCTTGAATGTATATGAAATACATGCCCCCAAAAGTAATAATGTTCACTTTGGTTTATTTCTCAGGCGACACCTAACACCTGCTGCCCCTGTTTACGTAGCAGTAAACAGGTGCGCAGGAGTTAGTAGGCTGTTGTGGAAATTAGCCACAAGGATTGACTTTTTTTTTTTTAAGAAATAAGCCACAATAATTGTCTTTCCTGGGTTATTAATTCAAAGAAAGTCTTTTTACGAAATAGTCTGTCTCTAAACTTCCTTCGTTTGAGTCTAATCTAAGGTCTTTCTCTCAAGAGACTGTCTCCCACACTGACAACAGCGTCTCCCACACTGACAACAACAGCATCTCCCACACTGACAACAACAGCATCTCCCACACTGACAACAACAGCGTCTCCCACACTGACAACAACAGCATCTCCCACACTGACAACAACAGCGTCTCCCACACTGACAACAACAGCGTCTCCCACACTGACAACAACAGCGTCTCCCACACTGGCAACAACAGCGTCTCATTGTCATTGGCTACCACCATCACCACTACTACCACCATATTCCTTTCACCACGAAAACAACCACAATTATTGCTGTCACCATCTCCAGCAACACAGCTATCACTACCACCCACATTATCACCTTCACCACCACCACCACAACTGTCACTATCTTCATCACTAACTCAACCACAATTGTCATCATCACTACCTCCATCATCATAACTATCATGGAAACTACCACCACTCTCCCCATCACCAGCATAACCACTACTACCACCACTACCTCTATCCTCTCTGTTATCACCACAACAACTTCTATAACCATCACAACCACAACGTTCCCCGGTCATCACTACGGTCACTGCATCCCCCACCACTGTCATTACCATCACAACCACTACCACCACTACAACTACCACCACCCCATCACCACAACAACTACTGCCATCACCACCCATATATTATGTATAATTTTTGCTGCTTGCCTCTGTGATAAAAAATATTTTCGAAAAAAATCCATTTACCCTTTGGATGGGATTGACCTGGAGTCTACCTGGAGGGTGTTCCGGGAGTCAACGCCCCCGCTGCCCAGTCCTTGACCAGGTCCCGGTGGATCAGGGCCTGATCAACTAGCTTGTTACTGCTGGCCGCAACCTAAATGATATTAACTCTAGTTCTACTGAAACGTAATCTCTGAAGCTGCTGTAGCTGTTGAACCTTTACTGAAATACCTGACAATAACCTCATTACCCTACTGAAGTATCTCATACCAGGCTGAAAGATTTTAACACTGGAATCCGCCCTGTGTGTAAATGTGTTTAGGCACAGATACACATAAGTACAATTATCGTACACAGTAACATAAGTTGAATAATAATCCACGTGGAGACAGAAACTCAGGAGATTAATTGATCTGTATATTTCGACCCCCATTCTGAGGTCCTCTTCAGCAGATGTGAATTATTATTGAGCACTGACAGATGTTCCTTGTGTTTTAGTAACATATTGCAATAATCGCGAACAAGCGATACAAGATACAAAACCACAGGGGGAGTTGAGTGATAGCTCTAGGCCTTTCGTGTTGCAGTCAACAAATCAAGAGCTTGCAGTGTTGCAGAAATGAAGAGGAAGTCCAGGCAGATTAGCTCCCCTGAACTAATCTGATTGGGTCTCCTACTCATATCGGCAACATTGTAACCTGACGTGTTTATTGCAACACGAAAGGCCTAGAGCTATCATTCACCTCCCCATGTGGTTGTTTTGTATAGTAAGACATGTGTAAATTACCTAGGATAATCCAAAAAAGTGACTTATTTCCGTTGAGATCCTTGTGTAATGGAATAAGACGGTAAAACATAGGTAGCTTCTGTTCCCACTGTGTTTACCTGGAGTTTACCTGGAAAGAGTTCCGGGGGTCAACGCCCCCGCGGCCCGGTCTGTGACCAGGCCTCATGGTAAACCTAGGTTATCAAAGTGATGGTATAACTGGGCTACCACAGTGAAGGTATAACTGGACTACCACAGTGATGGTAAACCTGGGTTACCACAGTGATGGTAAACCTGTGTAACAAACGAAAAGAAAAAGACAGCAGTCAGAAGTCAGGAAGGTCATGGGGAAGACTTGGAAATTCCGTGGAGGCTCGGCTTGGACCAGCCACACTCAGGAAGATGATCATAACCTTTTCTGAGTGTGTTTACATGTTAATAAATATAAGATTTATTGCATATTATTATATATCGGATTTGCAAATTGATGACAAGCCTGAAGTTTATTTTTTTTTTTATTTCGAGTGTGAGGAGAAATAGCTACAAGAAATAAAGGAAAAGAAAAGAATTCAGCTGAGACATTTGAAGAAATTCAAGAAAAGAGGTGGATAGAAAAACCGAGATAATAACTCAGGGGAGGGAGAGTGGATCCCAGGAAGCGATCAAACCACGGCGCATCCTCTCACGGGCGACCGTGACCCTGAGTAGGCAACACTGCGAGGAGGGTTGCCATATAACCAGTGGTCTGAGTATATACACAGGTAGATGCCTGTCCTTTTATGGCAAGAGTGGAACTCAAGTCAGGGTCTGCAGGAGAGAAGGAGATGGCTTCTAGTATGAGTGGGACTTGGGAATGCGTTAAGTCACTTTTGAATTCCTCAAAAGCACTGTCATCAGTAAACAGCAACTGGTATAACTCTTACGTGATACCACATTCATTATCATTTAATTTTACACGTCCAATTTAACATCCATTTCGTTTACAACTCTAAAGATGCCTGCAGTGCCGTTTTAGATTAGGCTGTACAATCGGTGAATGTTACTGTGTTGGGTTGAGGTGCAGATTTAATTACCCAGGTGATATTAAGTTGGACTGTCACAGTTGTTGTTTGCTGATGACGCAGTGCTTTAGAGAGATTCAGAAGTGAAGTTGTAGAAGGTGGGGGTGTTAGAAGGATCGGCAAAGCAGTAAAAAAGAAAGTTGCTGGTTATTTGTGAACTGATCAAGCTACGGTAATGTGACTTTTATTCTTTAAGGAAGTTAAGGGTGAATACGGAAAAGAGCAAAATCTTGAAATTAAAAAGTCTAGTAAATAAAAGATTCGAAGAGAGATATAAAGGAAGAGGCTAGAGGAAGTGGATGTATTTAAATAGTTAAGAGAAACTATTTTGGCAGACGGTTCTGTGAAAGATGAGTGGAATCATAGAACAGATGAAATGAAATTGATGGAGTATTGAGGATTCTGTAAAAAGAAAATGTATCAATATATGAAAAAGGGGCGAATATGTCAGAGTATAGTGATGTCAACACTTGTATTGGTAGTGATGTCAACACTGAATCTTGCAGCGAAAAGAAGGCTGGAGGGAAGCAGTAGAGAAGTATTGTTTGAGATCATTCTATGACGTGAATGTTATGCAGACCTGGGGGAGCGAAGAAATTAGAAGATGGTGAGATGGTATGGAAGGTGCAGGAGTAGGTGATGGAACAGAAGAGAGGTTGTAGAGAAGACTTGGTCATACAGAAACGATGGAACCTCCATCGTTTCTGATAAGTCGACTGAGAGAATGTATAAATCTGGGGTAGATGGAAAGTGGTGTGGAGAAGTTAGAGGAAGGATTGGAAGATAGGTGTCAAAGATGTTTTAAGAGGTAGAGGCTTGAGCATCCAGCAGGCATATGTTAGGTGGGAAATAGAAGAGATATGTGTTCTTTGGGATACGTCATGATTTTAAAGTAAAAAAAGGAACACTTATGAAAGGATTCAAGGAAGTCTGAAGGTGGGAAGTAAGGTGACTACACTAAAAACAAAGAAGGGATGTTGTGGTTTGCTTAGTTATTGGAGCATAATATGTGTGATTCTGGAAGGACAACTGGTGAGCGAGTGAGGCTGGGGACATATCACAATAAGTAAGT